TTTCATGAACTTTCATCAAATTTCATGAACTTTCATGAAATTTCATGGAATTTAGGAAGGTTCATAACAGTTCATGAAATTTCATGGAGCTTCCCTTTGGGCGACCAATTTGGCAGCTCCAGGGTGTCCAACTCCTGAAGACCTTGGAACTACATGAAATCATGAAGTTTGGGGGGGTGCCCTTTTTGGCCTCAACAGGCTTCAAAAAACAACTTAGAAAGGGCACCCCCATAAGACTGCCTTTAGGGCCTGTTTGCTGGAGGGTTCCTTGTAAATCCTTGTTGGACTCAAGGTTCACGAAAGTTTTCGAGGATGGTTCTGAGAACCACTTGATCCAATTAAGTGCGAACGAGCTTCTCAATCACACAGGGCGCAACACTCTTTGCACAGGCGCCGAAGCCAAAACAAGCAACAGAAGCAGTGCCAACTATTCACAGCGTACACCACTATGAAACAAGAGAAAGGAAAAAGATGCAGAAGCAAAGTAAAGCCTTTTGATCTCCCCAAGACTACAGTGCTCAGTTAGCTAAACACTCTTTGAGTCTCCCCAAGATTCACACCTCGCTAACTAGTCTAGAAGGTGCTCAATGCCCGAATCATCACTGCACTCCGCAGGAGTGTCTTTAAATTGAAGGCCCCGATCAGACTCCATGGGCGGGTTCCGTTTCTGCCTTAGATGGCGCAACGTTGCAGATTTGAAGGTAGGGAGGGAAGGGTGGTTCAAACATTCAAAACTTCCAGCTTTGGAATCCAGGGCGCACATATTCTGAGAGTAGAGCCCCCACCTACCAACGAAGGTCTAATGGAGGGAGCCTCGTCCTAAGGCCTTTTGACATCTCTTTTTTTGGTAGTCAAAAAAAGGGTATGTGCACCTTCGAAACACTAGATTGCTTCCCGCCTTGTAGCCGAGTCCAATTGGGTACTCCGCACTTGCTTTTAGATCACGTCCACCAACCTAAGAAGGCAGAGCCACAAACACACTTTGACTTGTTGAGGGAGAGAGAGCGCGAGAGAGAGAACTGTAAGTTCACCTGGGTTTTGTTTGAGCATATCTTCACACGATATATTTCAGTCAGCCGAGGCTGTCGCAACTTTCGTGCGGTTTGTCCGGCGGCATCGGTATTTTCTCACCATTTCAAGACCGCGGCGGCTCTTGATCCGCTTGAAGCGCAGCCTCCGAGGAAAAACCATTGACAGCTGGCCCGGTACATTTTGGATGCGCATCGATTTTTCATCCATCAATCTGAATTGAAACTGCTGTTGGATTCTGGTGCTTTGTTTCAACAGAAGGGGTTCTTGCATACATGTTTGGCTGTACATATTAGACCTAAATGGCTTATGAACAGGTGACTTGACGATTGTAGGAGTATGTAGGAATATAATAAATCACAACACACCTCTTCAGTGCACACGGAGGCCCACCAAGAGAATCCAAGTACGGGCAAGTAGTATACAAGATCACACGCTTCCTCAGAGATGGCGCCGATAAGAGTGCAACTTGTTGGGGTGGCTTTCGAATAAGAACTTGCTGAATTGAGGGGAACCGCACGTAAGAACTGGTCACTTTATTTCCAGCCGGGACACTCACTCTGGGCACCATATTTGCCCAAGCAAACCGAGATAGATTTAGCGCCATGCCTTCTCAGGAGCTCCTCCGTGAGCGATACAAAACCACTAGCGATACAGTAAAACATCACGCGTGTGGCCCTGCCTCCAGCGGCGGATAGTTGAAAGCAAGGCTGCTCATCGGATTCTCGATGCAATAGTGAACCCCACGCTGAAAACAATACTCGGCCCTTGGGTAGACCCACTCTCAAATCGAAATAGGCCATCTGCATACAAGAAACTGTATACACGTGAGGTTGGACACACGCACAGAAAAAACAGCCACCTGCGTTTCTTTCTTTCCAGCGCTAGGTGTATATATATATATACATATACACGGAGGGGGGCGAGGAGGGCTTGACCTGGAAGGCAAAGCCTTTTTCATCAGATGGCACTAGACCCCCGCTGAAAAGCACTGTCAGGGTCAAGAGGTGGGCTGAACAATGTAATGTATTTATTTGATATATGTATGTTTTTTCCTTTGAACGCGCAACAAGAATTGTTCAACCTTTGACACTTGACTCCCCCTTGGATATACAGGCCGCCGAGGCACAGGTAGCACACCCTTCTCATGATACGGTTTGCCCTGCGCACGTTTTTTCCAGAAGCGCCTGCCTGCAAGCACGCCCGACGGGTATTGGAGACAGCGCGCCCAACCTTTGGGGATTGTTTCAACACCTATAGTATACACAAGAGATTGTCTGCCTTGCGGCCGTGTAATTGACCTTCCTGTAGTCGATCTACTCAGCCACACCCATGATGAACATGGTGGTCCAACCCACCACAGGCAACCACGGAACAAGCTGCGAATCTCAGTAAACAAAGACAGAAACACCTCAAGCCAAACAACCAAGTTTGCATCCAACCCAGCTTTGTCCAAGCAACCCCCAGGAAGGCCGCCAGGAAGCCGGCTGAGGAGCATAGGTTGAAGTCTATATTTCTTTCAACCTTCCAGAATTCCAACAGGAGTCCTATCCAAAATTACTTCTAAATTTAGAAGTCGTTTCGAAACACCAGACTGCTTCATGCAAGAAACATCACGGCGCGCAGCACGCATACCGTAAGCCCTCACAGCCGCACTCAAGGCACCAGCACCGCAGCAGTCCTCTTGAAGGTGAGTGCCATCTGAGGATGGCAGGTCGCCAAATGAAGCAAGAACAAGAGTGGCAAAAACTGCCAGCTCTGAATACTTCATGTTTCTCTACCTTGGGCCCTTCAATGCTCAGAGCGCGCTCGGCTGCAAAGTTTAAGTGAACACACGGCGCTGAGCTGCAAAGTTCAAGTGAACACAAGCCTCCACAGCGTGAAGAAATAAACAAGTCCGATTGCACCTTTCGAGGGCCCACTGCCACTTCACCAGAACCAGAAGTCCGCTTCATGGTCACCTGCATTTGCAAACGTGTGCGCAGTGAACGTGTGCGCGCGTGCATCTGTACACGTTACTTCGACTTGAAGAGTTGAAGGAATTAACGTAGCAGAGCTTTCAACTGCCCCGGAAAGTGTGCCAAGCGCCTGCACCAACACGCTTGCGCAATGGCTCGATTCAACCTCAAATCTCCCGGACGAAGGCAGGAAGAAACATATATCTTGAGCAAGGAAGCAACAAAGTTGAGAAAGGCGCAAGAACCTGCAGACGCTAACAGCGTTTTTCTACCCCTTTCCGCGTGGCAATCAGCCCTCCCGACAAGTAGGCTTGCGCACCCATGGAGACTGCCACACGCCAAAATGATTTGGTAAAAGAAGCAAGGTTGTCCCTGCAACAAACCGCATCGCCAATTGCTGGCCTTGCTGAGTCAAAAAATTAACTAAACCTCGTGAACTTCCAGGTGAAACAAAGCAGCTTAAGCAGAGGCAAACAGCCATCTTAACTACTGTAACCTTGTTCCATCGCAAGGCTTAAGCAAAGCGACGCTTGCGCCGTTCAGGGCTTGGCATGGCAGCAATGATTCTGCTACGCGCTTTTGAAACAAGCCAAGCCTGCTGCGCCTCACGGTGACTCATGCCGCGCGCCTTTTTCTTTTCAAAAAACTTAGCCATCGCTTCTTGCATTGGCCCCCCAGCATTGCTCCGCTTTGCAATGGTTTTCTTGGGCAATTTTTTCTCAAAGGATTCTGGCTGATCTACTCCGCTGATCTTTTCTCGTGCACTTGTTTTTGCTTCCTTTGCAGGAACTCCATCGGTTGGTGGCACGACATCATCCCTGCCCCCATCCCCAGGCTGCGACTTCCGATTTTTCTCAAGCTTTTTGAGTTGTTGCTGCATCCTCTTGTTGGCAGTAAGCTGGACTTTGTGGATAGGCTGTGGGACTTTTTGCGGAGTGTTTCCATCGTCCACATTGAAGAAATTCATCTTGCAAGGGGGGTGTGATCTCATGGGGAGGCGAAATGGATGTCGCTTGTCCAGATTGAGCTTCACGAAGCCACTCTGCCTTGGTCTCCTCACTAGGTGGTCGCTTCTCTGACCAGGCGCCGGGCTGATGAAGGTCAGGCACAAACTCCACACCCGCACCACCCGTTTCACCACCCTCCTTCTCTGCCTCATGATTGAGAAATTCGTTGAACTGTTCAGCCTCTTGCGAAAGGTCCCTCCAATATTGAAAGACCATAGAAGCTTCAGATTCCCAGTCACCTTTCCGGCCCAACCATTTCCACACACTCCATAGCATCCGCTCCTCTTGGTTGTGGAAGAAGCCATCGTAGTACTCTGACGCACGGCCACCAGGAGGTTTGGCAACCTGCTCCTCACCCCAAAAACTGGGAGCGTGCACAGGACCAAAAACAAAAGTTGATGTCAGAAGAAAAATCATTCCAATGTTCATTGCATGTCGGGTTGGTTTGTCCAGTCTGGTTTCGTGCCACAAGCGTCCTGCGTCACATCATTATGGGAACCCTGCCAAAGCAGAACTTCCAGCGGAAAAATCACAACCAACGGGCTGAACGGGCTGCCTCGAAGGAAAGGCGTCTGCAAGGGGGTCTGCGAGGGGGAAGGACTTCCTTCAAACAAACACAAACCGATGGTGAAAGGTCTCTGTTTCACTTGTTCAATATGAATCCAAAACAATATCGGAAAGAGCAAGCAGGAACCAATCCTCTGGCACATCACCATGAAAGAAGCGGTCCGCAACCTGCCGGAGATGCACCGGCAAACAAATATCAAGAAAGGAACCAGAACCCATCAATCAAAAACAATTGAACAAATCATACCCAGCCCGCCATATCCTTAACCATTTCTCGCCACTCGAAGACCTCCATTGAAGCAAACAAAGCTAATCTTAACTCACCAGAAATCTGGGCATCATTTACTCCAAGCCTTGCTCGACGCGTTTGGCGAGCCAGGTCCGAACTCCTCCCGAGCATTTTACGTTTGAAAGGCGCAACCTTTCGATGAGTGAACTTAAAAATATTCCATGCGCACAGGAAGATGGCCACACGGACAGCAATTTAATTTTCCAAGCCTCCGCAACACATTGAAGGGGAGGTTTGCAGCCAGACTCTTCACGCTCCTGGGAAATGGAAAACATGGTTTTCTTGGTTGGGGCGATGGCCACACACAAAACGGAAGGTGGATTAAAAGAAGTTGGCAAGCGCTCGCAAGTATGTCCTGCTCATCTGACACAGGATTGCCTTCTCTCACGGCCACCTTTCCACAGCAAATCAAAACTGGCGGGGGAAAACTGTCAGAGCAACCCAAGACCAGACCAGCCTCACTGCTTTGACTCTTCACCCACTCTGCGTTGAGCTTGAACCACTCTTCGAAGTCAAGCTCCTGAAGTAAATGCGTTAGGATTACCAAAGCTCTGGGCACACTAAAGCACTCACCTCGTCACGTCCCTCAAGCTCATGAGGAGCCTCCAATTAGCGTCAACACATTGCGGTCGATTGCAGCTGACACTGTCACCTGTTGCAGCGGGTCGAGCCTGATCGTCATCCAGAGGTTCACCATCGATATCCTCCTCGACGTGGACGTCCTGCAAGGCAAAAGCATCAAAGCTGCAACATAGGACTGACTTGCAGCGCTGATTAAGAAAAATCCTCCGGGCCATCTTGAACCAGGCGATCCTGGCAGTATGAAATCAAATTTACCTCCAAAAGGAACCGATGAAAAAATCACAAAAGCCAGACAAGTCCTGAGTATAGTCCAAAGTGTCTGCCTCCTGCAGGGCAAGAGATTGAATGTAATGATCAAAGTTCAGATTCCTGTGCAACTACCCACAGCAGTAGACACAAGATTCTTGTTCAGAGATCCTCGTCCACGAGCTGCGTGTCTGCTTGGTCAAGAGAACTGCCAACTGCAGTCTGCGTAGCGTGCATCTTCCGAGCGTTCCGAGCAGAACGAGCGTAGTGCGCCACCTTCACCCTTTTGGCGACCTTCTTAAGCCTGTCTGCTTGAGCCCGGATGTACAGGTCAAGCGGTCCCTGAAATGACAACTGGAATGGCAGCATGCTTATCAAGTGGCGGGTTGTTGACACGCAAAGCCTTTTGGTAAAGAAGCGCCCACTGCACTTAGCGAGAATTTGGAAAGCTTCTCTGTCCCGTTTCTTTTTAGCGCCGGTCTTGGGGAAAAGGGACCCTGAAGCTTCAC